TTTTGTGCCTTTATTAGAGAGATAAGACAGTGGATAGAGTTGGAAATTAAGGAGAAAGAGAGAAGGGAATGACATACGGGAAAGGAGCCACAGGTCGGATTTGAACCTGGGCCGCTCGCTTGGAGAACCATAGCTTCCATACATGGGGCGCGCGCTCTAACCACTGTGCCCAAATAAGCTGTTTTTAATGCAGGTTTTGTGATTGTGACAAATGTTTGTTTTCACTCAGATCTTAGTGGATACTGAGACTCTAAACTTCGATATCATAAAAGCCTTTTTACCCTTCAGAGCCAGATACTCACGAGGCTTTGAAGCTCAGTGCCATTAAAAGATCCTGCTGTAAATCTGTTGAACAATTAGCTCACTTTTTACACAGTGTTGGGAATGTCGTGTATCCCTTTGGTGAAGTAAAAAAAAGTTATCTCTGGCCAAGTATTTCCAAAACAGATGTCTACACGCTGTCTCTATGTTACCGCCTGTTTGTGAGTTCACTTCAGGGCTTGTAAGGCCGCTGACAGTCATAAATAACCGTGTCAGACCGTGGTGTTTTTTTCATTTCTAAAGGTTAACATTGTTCTTTTTGTGCGTCAGTGTATGTTAATGTATCTAAGACAAGGCTTTCTTTATCACAGGCGCTAAACGTGCCACATAATTATGACTCCAGATCCGTGACAACAAGGCCGGCTGGAAAAGAATCCTTTCGACGTCTCGGGCTCGTAATGAGCTGTGTGTTTTGCTTACGGCTTCATCAGGCCTGCACGTAATGACACACAGGTTTTGCCCATTAAAAACTAATGAAATGAAAAAGATTGTTTTGCACCAGTACAGTGTGTTCCAGGCTTCTTAAGCTATAAATGTGATAATAATGAGGCCTTTTTTTTTTTTCTTCTTCTTCTAAAGTTCAGCGGCACGTCTGGACCCGCACGATCCTTCAGATGATACCTAGGTCACATCTGCCAATTAAAACGTGAGAATTGTATTCATGTCAGCTCTCTGCCCGTCATGTTGGATGAAAACACTTTGTAATTTTTAGCGCATTAGTCCGACTGAACTGCTGATTCATTTCAGGTCTTCATTTAGACTGACTTCGTGTTCATCATGTTGTCTTTGGGAGGGTTAATGTTGTTTTGTTCTGACCAATCAGATATCATTTCCCCTTCAACGGAGCAGCTGCAGCGGCGGTTGCTTGGAACAGTTAATGTTTTTTCGAGTTGATTAAACAAGACGATTTAAAAGTCGTTATCTCCGTTACTTGAACCATGACAGCCTCTCTGCACTCTTTTTTATTGCTAACTTTTAGAAATGTTGAACATGTCCTATCCATCCAATCATATCAATCAGGAGAGACTTAATTAAGAGTTTAAAATGATTTAATTAACAGTTAAAGAAAAGATAAACATGCAATGTCTTTGGGGATTAGACTCCTTCCGGATGACTTCATGCATCAGGATAGGATACCCCCCCTATCTGGTCTAGACCCTGGTGGTGGTGTAGAAGAATGCAGGATGTGATGAGGAGTGGCTGACTCAGAACAAGCTGTTTCTGTGTCTGTACCTTTAAATATGTAAATGAGCTGTGTCTGACCACGCCCCCTCTCTGGAAGGGCTTGGGTGTACTCGGGCTTTCTCACTCCATGTCCTATTGTTTACGGTGAGAAGGTAGACTCAGGGCAGAACAAACACCTAGCTGTGGGAGTGTCATCCACCTGGGGGAGGGGTTACTGCCCTTTGTGATGTCATGAAGGGAAAATCTCCAAAAGCCTGTTTGAGCACACATTTTCTGAAAAGTGGAGCAGGCTAAAGACGGAGAGGATGGACTTTTCTCCTCGTTGGGGGGAAAAGTCCAATGAGGAGACACATATTAGAGTTCGAGAAACATGGTGAAGTGGATTTTGCATCATATGAGACCTTTAACTTTTATTGACCAAACTACATAAAATAAGAAAGATTCAGTTTGAGAGCTGAGACCGGGCAGTTTTTCATTAAATGCAGTAAATACACTTTGATCATAACATGAAAAAAGAAAAGAAAGAGTTTTAGTCCATTGCATTTTTATCTCTTAGCTGGACTTAAGTCCTTCTGTCAGACTTCATCTGTTTTTAAATGAAGAGCTCAGACAGAAACATCAAAGATTTATATTCCTCTGTAAAACCAAAGAGACAGAGGGCTAAAGGGTTATATATCTCTCAACTATTCCCATTAAAGCCACAAACTTTCTCCTCTTTAATCATCGTGCTATTTGTTTTCTTAGTTGCTCTTTGAAACATTTAATTTACAACACTGAGGACATTTTATAAACAGATGCTTAAAAACCTACTGACTGGCTCGATATGTGATTTTAATATATTAGTGGAATAATGTCAGCCGACTGATTATAATGAACATTAATAAAAGTTCTGTGAAGAAGAAAGTATTCTCGTGGAGTTGGCGGGGTCGGGGTTGGGTTATTGATATTAGATTCGGTTTTATGTTCATTAACAGCCCTGCTCAGAACAGGCTATTTCTGTGTCTGTAGCTTTAAATGTAAATGAGCTGTGTCTGACCACGCCCCCTCTCTGGAAGGTCTTGGGTGGCTCTGGCTTTCTCGCTCCATGTCCTATTATTGACGGTGAGAAGGCAGACTCAAAGGGCCAATAGTGTATGTCTGCAGCCCTGGATGCTCTCGTCTGGCTGCTCTCGCCCGGTGGTATGAAGCCACGCCCCTTGAGCTTCTAATTTTCAAAATAAAGCTCCGTAAATCCTGCAATTGAATTGTCACGTGATATATTACAAACATACTAGGTGCTTAATCATATATATTCAAGACTAAATAAAAAATAAGCAATTTCGGCATTCTTGTGTGCTGTATATTTTTGTCTTCTGACTGAAAGTTGATTGATGAATCTCTTAAAGTGCATGATATAAAAACTTGAAGTCAGTTTTTTGACTTCAAACACGTTTTAGCTGAGGTTCACGCTCTCAGTGTTCGCCTGGTCATCAATCTGAGCCGAATAATGAGATTTTCTCCTCACTGTCTCACGCTCTCAGGCTGCTCTACATTCCAGTTCTCGCTTGGTTGGACGTCCAGCTGTTCCTTCAGCGTCTCCTCTCTCTCACAGTGAAGGAGTCAGGCCGTGTTTTCCTGCTGATATCTCTCCTCAGCAGCAGATAGATCGACTCCGCATCCCACTTACAGATGTTTGTGATCACTGCTCCGTGAGATTGAAGGGAAGAGAGATGATGACCAGAGATTCACCTCACCAAGCGGCTGTGTTGTCTTTGGATGTCCATCGGGGTCTCTCGCTGGAAAGAAGCTCCCTCATCTGGTTGGACGTCCATCTTTCATGCGTCGGGGAGTTTCGGGGGGTAGATGTGCAAGAAAAAGAGGGCCGGCTGAATAAGCTTCAGGGTTCATGGAAAAGTTCACAGGCTGAACAACTGAGTTTAATATGTACCGTATGAGTTACGGCGTTGTGGTGGATTGGGGTCCCTCCAGAATGTCAGCGTTAAGGCGCTCTGGGCAGCTTTCTGTCAGTGATGTTATTTCCTGGATGGAGGGAAGCCATCGAGGCTTTAAGATGTCAGACATCATGGATGTATTTATGGTGTGTGCGTGTGCATGCATGCATCAGGGTCTGTGATTTATTCTTGTTCTTTTCTGAAAGTTGATGTTCGGGCTGATGTTTGTCTGCCACGTGTACGACTTTTATCAAACCTCTGCTTGTATTTACAGAGATATACTGGATCCACTGTCCAATTTATTACAACAGAAACAGATTAATGGCTGCACAGAAACAAATATCTCATGGATGTATCAATCAGCTTCACATGGGATGTGTCTCTAGTTCCAGAGACTGATCCAAAAGTGGTAAAAAAAAAAGATATGATTTAAATATTTGTATGGAACAAAATGTTCCATGGTTTGATATAAACAGAGAGAGAGATATAACATTAACCTTATGAAGTGTAAGGCTGTTTTCACACCTTGACTGTCTGGTTCGGTTGAAACAAACTGTTCGTGCGGTTTGTTTGCGCTGGTGTGAAAGATGTCACTCAGACTCTGGTGAGGACCAAACAAACCGTACCAAGACCGCTTGAGAAGGTCGGACTTTGTCCCTTTTTTCTAGTTCATAACTGGTTCATAACTTTCTGATGTGAATTGTCCGCAAGTTAACTCTAGCTAACTGCTGCAATAAAAATGAACTACTGTGAGGACGCTCACTCTTTCTGCTCAGTGAGATTGGTGACAGAATCAACTCACTGCAGTCAGGTGTGTGTGACTGATTGGCTTTGATTAGGTGTGAGGAGCTTATATATATACTCTGCGTCTCCAGTGCTGACTCATTATCTCACCTGCAGAGGTAGTGAGAGGTTCTTCCTGTGTTTCTGCTTGTAGTGTGTGTATAACACTGCATAAACACAAACAACACCTTCCTGTGTCATTTGCTCTCTACTGCCCGTCTCTGTCAGAGAGTAATTTAAGGTGCTGGGTGTTTTGTTTCTACTCCAGGCTTTTGTGTTAACTGTTCAGGCCTCTTTGGCAAACTTTGTTTTCTGGATCTCCTGGACATTTAAGTTTATCAGTCAGCTGCTCTGTGATGTAGATTATGTCCTCATTTTCTGTTCATTATTTATTTAAGGTAGCTTGTTTTTGCTTTATACAATTTCTTTGTCTTTCTTCTGTCCAATCTATCGCTTGTGATTTTTGTGGACATCCTTCTGGGATAACTTTGAGGACACACCTGCGTCCCACTCCCTCCGGCCTCTTGACAACTACATGTAGTCTGAGCTTCAGTTGTTTGTTCTGAATTAAAATGTTTTGCATGTTTGTTTTTTTCATTATGAGGTAAAAAACAGAGGAAGATTTTCTTCAGAAGCATCTTCTGACATTAACTTTCACGTCCTGCTGGTAGCCCTCAAAGTGCAAAGATGCACTCTTTGATGTCTTCTTGATGCATCACACAGCACATATTGCCATGACGACATGTGATATTACCGACTGAGCTACAAATACCACCATCCTTAACAAATTAGGACTCTTTTTTATTTGAAATTGTTCATCTTTTACACACTGACAGATAATATACACAAGCCTTTGTGGTCCCTCCGGCCCCCAGACATGAATGTGTGTGCTGGATATCGACTAGAATGGATGTAGATCTCTCTCTCTCTCTCACTCACTCACTCACTCACTCACTCACACACACTCATGGACAAGCACACGCACACATGCAGAAGAACACACCTGCACACGCACACATAGATATGCAAGGACAAATACAAAAAACACACATTACGACACGTACGCTAACAATCTAACACGGTCTAGCCATCTAATGTAGACATCAACAGAGGTGGGGCTTAAAGTGCAAACAGGAAACAGAGGAGGGCCTTTTCTCTCTCGCTCGTACGATCAGTAACAGCCTTTGAATCCGGAGCTACAGTAATCCTCCACTAAAGCAATGATGTTATCGCCGCGCTGAAAAGCATATCCGTACTGCTCTTTTGCTCAAACTGTGCCTTGCATCATGACGTTATGACACTGCATAGTTCACGGGGTTAGTCTTTTATATTATTGCGGTACAATGTAGGTCCAGGTCCAGGTTCAGGGTCCAGGTATGAGCTGCAGAATGGAGACGTTAGCCCAACGTTTTCAGTGGAAGAACACAAATAAATCCAGAGTTTATAGCTTTGAATGAAGGATAATCCGTACAGAGGAGTGTTGAGGAGTGAGAGATGATCACAGTATGTTCAGGATCCAGGGTGGATGCACAAAAAAGAGTTGTACCGATACCAATCCAGGTGCCCAGACTTTAGTGTAAGCCCTTCGGTACCCGTCTGATACCTGTACTTTTATTGGTGGAAAAACCTTTGCTAGCTTTGACCACAGTCTGTATACCAATACTGCGCCACAGGAACAAGTTCTAAAACCAGGAAGTAAGTTTGCATTTTAGCGCCATGGGGTCGTTTGCCTGAAATTCAATGTTTTTTTTTTTAATGGGTTGGTGGGTAGATGCCTGAAATAAAGTCTGTGGTTAACACAAGCACAAGAGATGTTGGCATTTTGTTGCATGACATAAAACACATTAGTGAATACCCCTACTTGTGAATTTGAAAGGTTTTATGTGTCCTTTAAAATGCGGTTGCTAACAACTGGCTAAATAAAACTACAGTGTGGTTGTCGGGGACATTTAACGTCATCACCCCGGACACATTCTCTCACTTGTCCGCCTTACAGTCTCTAGTCGTGTTTCACCGTCCTCTTTAAACTTTAGATTTATCAACAAATATAAATGAATCAGCCTACGGTTTTTGCTAGCTAGTCAAAACTAGCTAGTTAACTTGTGGGAGACATCCTGAGGCAGAGTTGTGGTGACGCTATAAGATTAAATTCCCGTAGACCTCGTGGCAATGCTAACTTCTGGGGTTGGCCTAAAAAAACATGTCATTTTGTTTCCTCTCTGAATGGGCGGCACAAAAGCCACCTGGAAGTGAAGCCAATATATTTAGAGCTCCCCCTGCTGGCTGACTGGCTGCAGTATGGATCATGAATTTTCCTCCTCCATGTTAACAGATGGGACATAGGTTACACTATAAAAATTTGATCGCTATTTTGTGTGAAATTATTTAAATTTTAGGGATTTAAAGGGATTGTAAATCATATGATCGGATTGGTGAGTTGTTGCATCCACAGATACCCTATAGAGCATCTAAGTTGACATCAGAAGATTGGTATCGGTTTTGGAACAGTTCTAACATTAAGGAGCACACACGCTGACATGACTCCTTGTCCTGGTCGGGGTTAAAGTTCTGGGTTTCTGATCCTGGACAGGAGGCGGTCCCTCGGGTCAATAAGGGGCAAAGAGGACCTGTGGGTGAGAGGTCCTGACAGGCCCGGGGGCAGGGCGGAGCAAAGCAGCAGAGAGGGTCTGAGTCTGGAAGAGGGCGGTGCTGGGGACGTGGTTAGTGGCATGGTTCGTGCGGAGGGAGAATGAGTTGCCAATGGCTGCTGCGGCGGCGGCTGCAACCGCTGCCAGGTGAGCGGGGATGATTTGGGGAGTCAGAGTCTGAACCTGACGATCCTTTCCCAGGGTTAACTTTATCTGTTAAAAGGAAAGCAGAGTACAGTCAGTACAGGCGCTCGGGTGAACATGATGCAAAAAAACACTATTTTTATATATTTGTTCTGATTCTAATAAAACAACAGATGAACAAAACATTCCACAATCACAATCTGAGAAAAATAAAGATGTCCCTCTCAAAACCTCTTTTTAGTTGGTTTTGGACATGCGTTAAGACCTTTCCATCAAACTATGCAAGTGACTAAACGTTTGATTTGGACTTTTAGGCCAGGTGTCAACCTAGCGTTTTATCCTGAGCATCAGTGTCTTGTTTTTAAATAGTTTCCAATGAGTAGAGAGCGTTTGCAGCAGGAGGTGGCCGCCCAATGAAAAAGTGCAGCGACTCAGCTTTTTTGTGCGGCTGCTCAGAGCGCTCAAGTTGAAAATCTTTTCAGAAAGGCGCTGTTGACGTCACCAGTGCTCTTTTCCAAATATTTGATATTCCCTTTAGTTTTGCTGCCTACAGATCGTGTCTTGTACCAGCGTCATCTCTGCTTCGTGTCTGATAAGGTCAAAACAATCTAAAATAAAGAAACATACAGTAAAAAGAAACGGAGCAGTGTCGTTCAAACAGCGGCCATTGCAGACAGACTGTTGTCATAGAGACAGGACGGACGCTCAGTGCTTTTATTCTCAGCTCACAAACACATCCTGAGCTCACAACCAACGCTTTTACTGCCCGGACAAACCTCACGCGGGCATAAGGGACTAAAAGTTTGATTTGGACTCTTAAGCAATATCACACCAGAGATACTGAGATAATCACAGCACTGCTGATATCCTGTATCACTCTAGACCTTGAGTTTGATATTACTTTTATACTACAGGTATGCAGCAAGCAGAAATATTGGTGAAAAGTAAAAATTAACCACAGATTATTTTAACTCTATCAACTCAACTAGTTTCACAATTTAACTGAAAGTAGACTGTTGCTAAGCAACCCAAACATTCTATTCTACTGCACTCTGTTGGTGTCCATGGTTACCACATAGCAGCTACTCTGTGGTATGAACTTCTACTTTTATGTTAAAAGAAATTAATGTTATCATGAAACCAGTGAAAGTAGATTATTTTTGTGATTCTGAAGTTTGAGAAGGATGGAAGAAAAACTCCTGTCAGCTGTAAATGTGAATAAAAAGTGTGCGGAGCTCCTGGCTGAGGAGGAGAGAGACGCACTGTGAAAAGTCGCAGTGATGTTGTTCGTCACTCATGGAATGCCTTGGCCCTCTTGACCAATCAGATTGCTTGATCGGATCTAGCTGTTTTATAATTGGACGTCTGTATGTTCTCACTGTGCTCTCTTATATGTACGGTGATATCTGGAGATAAAATAATGGTTTAATAATGAATGAATGGAAAAGTGTCCTTGGTTGTTTGACTCTTTATTAAACCAAATAAGTCATCTGAAGAAAAACTTTCTGAGTCTTCGATTATTTCTGACACTTCTCTTCTCTTCGTCATTACGGTTCATCTGTTTCCGAGTTATGTTTTACCAGACTGCTCCTGTGGGAATCCCAATCTAACAGCGGCAACATGGCGGTGTCACAAACAGGACTTAACTTGTAAATCAGAATAATTACAAAGGAAACATGAATAAACGGAGAACACATCGGCTGAGGACACTTCTGCTGCTGTCTGCAGGAACACACAGAGAGCTTTACAGGAGATCAAACAGGTGCCAGAAATCAGACGCTAATTACTGAAAGTGCTCCAGATGGTCTGCAAAAAAACAAAAAACAGAGCGTCTATGTGAATCTGCCCAAGACATGTCAACCCGTTCTGCATGATAAATAAGGTTTGCTTGATCAACTTAGCTACGAGTTGGACACAAGGCTTTTTGGGAAAGAATTAATTGCGCTGCTGAAATCGTCCTGAACACAAAACTATCACAGTGAATCCCTGATATCTTTTAAATCGGTCACATCCTGCTGGTGTTTGGTGGTTTGATGCCTTTGGTGTTTGTTTGCAAATTTAAAAAATTATTGATTTTCGAGTCAAACTAGAAAATATGGACAGCTAAACAGCACGTTGTCACAATAATTAAAGGAGCAATATGTAACTCTGACCTCTAGTGTTTAAAATGGGTACTGCAGTCCAAATTCTAAACATTAGAGAGAGCTGATTTCCCCCCCCCCAGAGTCCATGCTCACGCAGGTTGTCATGTGTTGGACACTGAAGCTTCAGTGTTTAGCCAGCTCTGCATCGGTCTGTAAACCTTTTCTGTGTTCTAACCTTTCTCCATTTTTCAAAAGCATCTCCAATATTGATCCTAGTTTGAGCACGTTTCTGCTCGTGGAGCTTATTAGAAACATGCAGAGGCTTTTTAGGTCGGGTACAATCACTTCTATCTGAACCAGTTCTCTTGCCCGCTTCCATCGCTGCAACACCTGTTGGTTTGACCTGATAACTGCTCTCACATCTGGCAAACTGAGGGGCGTCCAAAACGGCCATGTGGGGGTGCCTTAAAACCGCCTACCTTCTCTGGTCCAAACAAATCCAGAGCATTCAGGACCAGAATCTAAAGTTAGAAGGAGGACATACTGGCTGCTGCATTGTTGTCAGAGAAGCCAGCACTTCAACATAGCATGTTTCCTTAATGTCTGATCATATAGTAAGATACCTTTATAGTTTCACTCACTACACATCTTACTGATTTCTCCTTTAAACTTGCATGTCCAACCATTAGATCCAGAATGCTTTTTTTGTCAATACTGCATCTGTTGGTATGAATGCCGGGGTGAGCCCTAGTTTTGTAGATAAAATTGGATGACAGCTTTTTAAAGTGGTGATGGCGTTAGTTTTTAGTGAAAGAAATAAAGACTCCCTGAACCCAGACCTCTTTCATACCTCTCAAAAGCTGTCATTTTTTGTTGCTATGCTCCAGTAGTTTTCTTTCTTGCACATGAAAAGTCAATATTTTTTTTATTGGCTCTGGATTTATTGTTTTACAAGAAAAGAAAAGAATAAAGTTCTGAAAGAACCACAAGAAGAAAGGACGGATGGACATAACGTAGCGCAGTCTCATCAATCAAGATCTTTTTTTCATCCGTCAAAACTGCATCTGTTGGTATGTTTACAAGGGTGAGTCCTTTGATTGGAAGTAAAATAAAAGGAACTGGCTTCAAGGCTAGTTTTTTGTGAGAAGAAGAAAAATGAACCAAGAAAGAATAGTATCATGATTTGGTCTGTTTTAGTTTTGTTTTTCAGAGTTTAGATGATCTTGTTTTAGTTCTCATTCTTCCCTGGTGTGTTGTCTAGTTTAGTCTTTAGTGTTTTGTGAGTTATTTTGTAACTTGATATCCTAGTGTTTCTTTATATTCTAGTGTGTTTTGTTACATTCTTGAGTTCTGTGTCTTCAGCGTTTCATGATTTAGTTTGTAGTTTGTCCTCAGTGTGTTTCCCTCCAGTGTGATTGCCCTGATTGTCTTCACCTGTCTTTAGTCTCACCAGTGTTTGATTACCCCATGTCTATTTAGTCTCTGTGTTTCTTCCCTTTTGTGTCAGATCATTGTAGTTGTCAGTGTCAACTGTCAGAGATTCATGTTGGTTCCTGTGTGAGATTATTTCCCTGTGACTACTCGTGGCTCTGTGGTTTTTGACTTTGTGATTTTGAAGTAAGTTTTTGTTTGTCCGTTGGCCTTTTTGTTTAATGCACTTGGGTGCATGACAAATAGAAGGACCACAGAAAGGTCTCTCAAACATAAAACCCTGACATTTGAGTTTAATGTTTCATCTACGGAGGCATATTGCATTCATATGATGAGATAAATATCACATTATAAAGACTCAAAATATACTAGGAGGATTCATGAATTTTGCATTGCAGCAGGCAGAGGTGGGAGGAAGACCAAAAGTCAACGATGACGAGGCGTCATTGGTTTGATTGTGTTTTATTTCCATCTTGCTTTTGAGGCTTCGGGAAATATTAGCATCTTTGAGTAATCACCAGATGGACACGGGTTCTTAAGGGGTTACTTTTTAGCAAGAAGGAGAAGAAAATGAAAAAATTAAGAAAGGAATAATGGACGGACATCAGAAAGCTGTCTCAAATAGAAAAATCCTTGAAACCAATCTATTTTTAAAGATATCTGCCAAATACGACTTTTTTTTGGGATGTGTGAAGAGGTGATTCTTTTCTTGGTTGTAAAAATATAAAGAGTATCGTAAGAGAGACTATGAGGTTAGTTTTTAGGAAGAGAAAGAATGAAAGAAATGTCAAGTCTGCTTTGTTTGTTTATTTGGTTTGTTTGTGTTGGCGGTGGTGAGTTTTGTTTGTCTCTTGAAAAATGAAGAGCGGCCTTGAGAGGGAGTGAGTTTTTGATTAAATAAAAAGAATGAAAGGAAGGACAGGAAGAAACCCCGAACAGACAAAATGGAGGGAAAAAAAGCAGCCTAATGGGGTGAAAAGGTCGCCAAAGTTATCCGGATTAATCTTCTGTATCAGTAATGGAAAAGCTACGCTCTCACAGCGGCAGGATGGCAGCCGCTGTCATGGGTTATCAATCACTGACTCAGGCATCGCAACCCTATGGGAAGCATTCTTTACTCTCCGCTCATCAAAGACGCTCCTCTCCGTTAACTCAGTCAATGATGGGTTTCACAAAAAGTCATTTCCCCCACACTGGTAAACCCCCACGCTGCGTCTCGCCGAACACTGGGTGTGATGAACGAGGTCTTCAGAGAGACGGGAAGTCGGGCTTATCTTTCCAACATTGAAGCAGCACGGCTCCTTCATGCTTCCTACTGATCCTGTGCCGTTAGACACACGGGAAAAAAAACAAAAACGGAATACTTTAACATCCTGAGGGGGAGACGGCGCCTCAGGGTCACCACATATGACAGCGAGAACTGGAGCATTAAAGACCCCCCTCTGTTAAGAACGATTTTTAACCCTTTTCAGTTGACCATGTGGCGATTTTCATGAGCTACTGGGAGAAAAAAACTGTAGTCAAGGCAGAACATTTCTGCTAAGTATCAGTCAAAATATGGATTTAGGGCCTGCCTCCACAGACAGCGCCCATTTTCAATCCAAAACCTAGGTAGTTTCGCGTTTTTAGCGTCCTGAGTGATAAAACGCACTTGGCAGCAGCGGATTTGTCTCTACTCTCACAGCGCTCTGAGTTGAAAACAGTTCATCTTTTGGAACAGCGCAGCACTCGTCAATGTCTCTTCTCCCTCACCGACCAACCAAAATCAAGAAGGGGCGGGACTTCTGATATTAGCTTACAAATATGGTGGAGGAGGCGCTAGTCTGACTCGTCTTTTTCGAGGGGAACAATTTCCAGAGTAGAGCTGCTGTTAATGCCAGGAGATGTGTCATATACATGTTGTGTTTTCTTGAATAACAGCAAATATTAAGAACACAGAGTAGTTTAAAACAGTGGTTCTCAACTGAAGGGTTGGGACCCAAAAGTGGGTCGCAGGGTTGTTTTCAATGGGTCGCAGAAGTGTGCCAAAAAAAATGTTTACACTTTTCTTGGGATTCATTTTTCCGCTTTTTGTGTCTTTAATGGAGAGATGGGATAGTGGATAGAGTTGGAAATCAGGGAGAGAGAGAGTGGGGAATGACATGCGGGAAAGGAGCCACAGGCTGGATTTGAACCCGGGCCGTCCGCTTGGAGGACCACAACCTTCGTACATGGGGCTTGCACACTAACCATTGCACCACCAGCGCCCCACGTTTACACTTTAAACTTTCTGTGCTCTGTCATGTTTTGTACCGTCTGAGATCCAAACTGCACTATTTTTCATAAAACAAATCTTATCAGTTGAAAAATATTCTAAACTTGGGTTTAGAAAGGAGTTGGTGGTGGGTCAACTTGTCTGAACTGACCTGATGAAGAAAACCAGACACTGAGGTATGCTAAACACTCGCAAACTGACATTCATAATTACCTATAAGATGAAACCTTAGGAAGAAGTTTGCCTCGAGCGTGCTGCCTCAGAACAGCATTGACATAAGCATTTTTCTCTCTTTAATTCAGAGTTCTTTTGAATTAATTCACACTGCTCCCTTCAACAGACTTTAATAAAAGCCAGGTAACAAGTGAGCCAGTTATGAAAGTTGACATTTCATTGAACTACCTGCCCTCAGGTGATGAATGTGCTTTATCAAAGAACAAACATGAATGCTTTAGGAGAGGCGTGCAGGAAATTCACCTGTAACAAAAGAAACATTAACATACCAAATTCCTGCACGAGGTTTTGTGCAACAATCTCTGTGCTGTTAACAGAGCAAGAGTGAACTGTACATGTTACACTTTGGCCCAGAACCTACAAGCTGCACAAACAGGAAGTGCCTGGAATGCGATAATGACGATAAATAGAGTCTCAGATATCAAACAATGACAGTGTCCCGTGTGTGCATGCGTGTGTCTGCTAACGGGCTAATAGAAGTGAGTCAGTGTGATTGTTGTGTCGACAGCAGACTGTAGCTGCTGATAAGGTGACTCACCGGCTGCTTGCTCTGGCCTTTCTGTGGTTTGCTGTAGGGGCTGTACTTGGGTTTGGCTGGTTTACCTGCTGCTCGGTCTTTATGACGCCGGCTGCTGATGTGCTGAAAGGGAGACAAAGAACAGGCATCAGACAGGGGAGCATTTTTATGTTGAAAATGATACCTGTTGTCTATAGTTAGGCGCGTAGCTGACATGATTGACAGGTGGGCGTGATGTAACAGTTTGTCAAGAGGCTTAAAACACGCCTCAGCTCTCAGCCTGTCGTTAGGTTGACTAAAAGTTAGGGTGAGACAGCATTTCCAGCATGGCGGCTGCTGCTAATGAGCCTCTGGAGCCCCAGTAAAAAAAAAGTCTGGACACGCCCCTGCTGTTGGTGTGTCCTTGGGTAAACTTTGGCTACCAAGGTGAAAAAGGAAAGACTGAAAAAGTTTGAGTGAAAGTCTCCCACTGTTTGTCTAAATGTGTTTGTCATCATCATAGAGTCGATGAGAAAGAGGTCGACTGCTGCTCTTATTTACGTGCACAGCTATCCGCCGTGTTTATGATGATGGCTGAAATCTTTTTAAATAGCCGGAGCATGCTGTGTAACCGTGGTAACCACTGCTAACACACAAGAGGACGACAATGCAGAAGTGTACAATACATGACTGTTTTTCTACCTCCAGCAGCAGCGAACAAACACATTTGTGGGTGTCGATGAAATCAAAGCAGTTTACCTTCCAAGAAAGTACAAATGTTCTCAGATGATCCTGCCGATTTTAAGACTTAAGATGTGTGGCTGTAGGGAGTGAATGTGTGGCTACAGGAGATAACAGGGCTGTTATGTAACATATCTACTGGGGATATCCACATAGAATACATAGACTAAAAGCCAGCAGGGGTCCCAGGCTTTGTTTGATCCAACATACTGACAGATGACAGAAATAATAATAGTTCTTGGTATCAGACGTGCTGGTTTGTTAGACAGGTTGTTTTGTCCACAAACACATTGGCAGGAGTCGGCTGTATGCAGTAAAAAGCGTCAGTATGGAGAGCAAAAGCAGCAGAACACCCTCAACATTTATTGACAATTTGGCTTATATGTATAAACAGACATCTCCCTGTAAGTGCAGCTAACATTGGGTAAAGATGTTGGCTGAATCTTGATTTCCTCCCTAAAACCCCCTGAGCCCCTTAAAGACTTAAATGACGTCACTTGAGAAGTGATTGAGTGCATGAGGCTGCCAGGGCTTTGACATTTTTGCTACATAGCCCCTTAAACGTTGCTCACAATCAGAGCCAATAGGGTGGTCAGTCAGATTTTTGGGGGCACAGCACATGCTAACCAGGGCCACTGCCAGAACATGCCCCCTGCTGCCGGGGTTCTTTGAATCTGCAGTATTATGATAATAACCTGCTGCTTTATACTGCTTCATATACTGCTCTGTAGACGAGCTATTCCTGCAGAAATGGTCATGTTGCTTTGAATTACAAGTAAATGCATGCTACCGCAAACTCAGGCTAAGTGGCCTTTCAGGGTAGAAAGGTCATCATATATGGAGGCTGGAAACCTGACTAAAGGGAGAAGAAGATGGCGGTACAAAAAATATACACCTCCCCTCTCAAGGAGGTAAGTGTTACTGCTACAGAGGTTTCATTGTGACCTAAACCACCAGGGTGAAAATGGCGGCACTTATGGCGTGGAAGGATACAGGATGGAAAACCGAACGACACTGCAGCGTCCCAAATTAAATCCAGGATTTGATGTTAAGAGGAGAGCTATGGATAAGTGGATCCAAACAAACAAGTTAAACGTTCAAAATCTGGACCGACACAAGCACAAACAGTCTTTAACCTCAAGCACATAAATAATTCAGTGGATTTCTAGCTGTGTCTAAACTCCTTGCAGCGGATTTTAAAAAATGACTCCTTTCCTCTGGTGTTCAAGCTGTAACTATTATTTGTCACGCTGGATTCTTTTTCAGAGAGAATCAGAAAAAGTCCCTGCATGAAAAATTCATACAAAGCCTGTCTATTTCCAGTAAGAGAGCTCAAGGTTAGCTCACACAAAACCCCGACAGAATGATCAGCAGCAACAAGAGAAGAAGAGGAAGTAGATTTGTGGAGTGGCCCTGAAGCTACAACCCAAACACAGGTTCCCAGGCGGACTTTAGAGCCAAGCCCCGGTGAGGAAAATATCACACAGAGATCAGATTATCGTCAGATATTCTTAGTAACCTGATTTCCATCCCATCACATCAACTAGAAAACCCTTTTCTTGTTTGGAGAGGGGGGATTAGGAGAAGCTGATTGGGATTTATTTCTGCAGGAGAAACCTAATTTCTTGGCTGTGTACATGGCGAGCTAGAACAGATTTTTTTCTGAGTTTTTGCAGGAGTGCATCTGCATGACAAAGGCTTTTCAAAGCTTCTGTCTGACAGCAGCAGCGGCGACAGATGAAAGGAAAGATCATTACTATTAGCGGTGCATCTTTGAATCAAGAAACAACAATCTGAAAACGCAAGAAAAAGTCAAATGTGACACTGAAGTAAATGAGTCTGAATAAGCAGATGCATGCACACATTTAATTTTGTTCTTTCTCCTTCCACAGGTCCTCAGTGTGTTATTACTGTAAGCGTGTTCAAAGATAACGTATTCCTGCTGCAGCTTCACATGCTATGATGAAATTCGAACAAACCACCCTAGTTTCAAAGATAAGCTCCAGCAGGGAGTGACGTAGGAATCTGGTTGCCAAGCAGCCACAGGTAAAAGCAGGTTTCATAGGTTGTTTCAGTGCATGTCAGTGCGTTTGTCAGGATGTTCTCCCAGCAACTAATACAGTGCCATGTGTGCATGCAAACTTAGTAAAACGCTACATAGTGGAGTCAATAATAGGAATTAAAGCTCTACACCGCAAAAACTAAAATCTTAGCAAGTGTGTTTGACTTTATCTCGAGTCAAAGATATCCAATTACGCTAAATTTATTCCACATTCACCTGACAGGTCGTATTTCAAGATATTACGAGAGGAAAATCAATTTTTAGGGTTAGTGACAGCACTTCCTGCTGACTGTTTGTTTCCCTTAAGAGGCTCAAACATGTTTTGTACGTGTTTGTTTTTTTCTTGAGTGAAACCATCCCTCTCCAACCGGGGGGGAGGAAACATCATTGCCCACTCAGGGAACTTTTCACAAAGGCGCTCTTGCTCTGTGTCTGAATGGGAAATAAACAATCGCAAATATAAAACATCCAGTAAAAAGTAACAGAGCAGTGTTGGTCATACTGCGGCTGTTGTCAACAGACTGTTGTCATAGGAGACAGGATGGATGTGCACAAACACAGCCAGAGCTTTTCTGCCTGGAAAGAAACCGCTAGGTGGACACGGGTCTAAAACACCCCTCTTGATCGGAATGGGCTGGATCTGAACAGCAAGATTCAAAAAACGTTGTTGTCTATCACATAGTGACAGAAAATGACCTTGGTTAGAGGCTCAAATAAAACATTCACACCCATTAGACTCACATCAAATCATACCAGAAGTTCCATTAATAGGTAAAGCACATTAAAAAGTAGTGTTCATAGAGCCTTGTTTAAATTGCAAATTGTAGTACGAATAAAAAAGGTTTTTTATGTTGTCTTTTAAGCCAATGGTACTCTGAAGTGGCTGCCAGAGGGGAACAGAACTGAAGGACTAAAAGCTGCTCTGTGTGCAGCAAAGTTTGGATTTTTAAGATGACATTTCAAAGCCTCTGTCTTCTCACCTGTTTTAGCTGCGTCTCCGAGTTGACATGCACGTCACACGTCTCACAGTAAAACGTTTTGTTCTGCAGGCCCGTCGCTGACTTGGTGGGTGTCACCAGTTTGCTCTTGACTCCGGGCCGGGGGAAAGACTTGATGGAGCCCACGCCCGTCCTGGCCTCCAGCATCGTCTTGTGCTTCGTTCCTGCGGGTTCAAACGGGAAGCACAGCCGTCAGAACGTGAATTTTAACCTCACAGATTCTGCCTGCAGGAAAGGTTGAGATCAGAGGTCTGTCAGGGCTGTTATCTCTCTTCTCATCAGGGAAATATGAGGGTGAAAGGGTCGCCTTGTAAATTATTCTAAAGCATCACTGATAAAGCTTAGAGACCAGAGACGCTCATTCTTGGTGAATTTATGAGTTTAACCACAGTGTTGTCTGTATGAAGTGAAGGGGAGGACTTCAAATTGTACTGCTGCTGGACTTTTGACTCAGGCCTCCAAAGAAAACCGTCCTAACAGAGAAGATTTATTATGAAACTCTGTCTTTAGTTTGAAAGCCTAAAACCATGTCAGAAAAGGTTCAAACTGTAAAATGCTAAAAATATTTTTGGTCTCTCAAAGTTGTTCTCTGTGCAAATGTTTGAACTATTAGAAGTGACTGCTACTAGTGAAGAGGTTTTTTGGACGCTTTAATCAGCTGGAGTGTGGAGCTGAGATTTTTTAAATATCTTTACTGCTCTGAGTCCTCCAGCTTTCACTCTACCAGAAACACTTAAAAAACTCCATGAGCCTCATCTCTGCCATCTCTAATCGATGCACAGAGCTGACCAAAGTCCAGCTCCTATTCACCACTATATAGACTCCTTCAGGCTCTGTGTTTGTTGACCTCAGCTTCAGAGCGCTTTTCACAGTGCTCATTGTTGCTAAGTTACAAAAGTCAACTTCCTCTGCTCTCGATTGTTACCTTTAGGTCAGCTTTAATAGGTCAGTGTGCTTTATATTTGATTTTAATACAGAAAATAAAATAGAATAGAAAGCCTTTAGTAAAATTTTAAAAGCTTAAAGGGGACATATTGCGAAAGATCCACTCTTACAGTGTTTTTGAACATATATTTGGGTAACCTGAGCGTCTACTGACCCACAAAATGTGAAATAAACCCATCCAGTCCTTTGTTTGTGGTCTCCATAAGTCTCACAACACAGAGAAAAATGCTCTGTTTCTAATGTGCTCTCCTTGTGATGTCACAGTGGGATTCTGGCACTTCCCTCCCCTCTCCTGGTATCTCCACCCATGGACTCCATCCCAAGCCTAGAGTAAAACTTTTGAGCAGGTCCGCCATTTTTATTCTCGCTAGTGAAGGAGTGATGTCTACCGGGAAAACTCGGGGGGGGGGGGGGCTCATTGCATTTAAGGAGACACACCACCAGTGAAATCCCGCCCCTACTTGATTCTGATTGGCCGGTAAGGGGGAAGTGACATTGAAAAGCACAGTGTTGATCGAAAAGTTGCACTTTCAACTGAGAGCGCTGTGAGTGCAGCGACATTGAGGACGTTTTAGGGCTCATCGACTGAGGGCTGAAAAAACGCTGAACTACACTGGTTGTGTATTGACAATGGGTGCTGCCAGTGCAATGGAAAAAACCCCACCTTAAATGGAAACCGGTCTTAATGGAGGCAGATTTGTGTCAGTACAGTCAGACGAAATTTTCTTGAATTTGAGACAAAAATGAGAATATGAGAGAATTAAAAGTCACTGAAGCACAAAGCCGACATAGAGAGCAAAAGTCTGACGAGTAATAAAGAGGCAGAAAGAGCTGCGAACAAAAGAACTCTTTTGTATTTATGACTCATGCAGAGCTTTAGGTTTGCTATATCCAGCAGGTGCTTTTCTTTGAATAGCCATTGAAAGTCTTTGCACGACTGTCAGTGAGTGAACCCAAAGACAGAAAATTCCTTCACTGTAAGGAAACGTTTTATGTGCTATAGCCGCTCAAAGGGAGTGCAGAAAACACATTCCCCGAACCACATTTACCTTTTGATATAATGAACTTTACCTTGTCTAGCTCCATTATCCGTTTTTATAGCTAACCCCCTGGCTTTCTTTGATTACTCTCACTGTATCTCCTCTTATTAACAATGAGGGGTCTCCATCAATGGGTTTCTCAGAACTTAAACTACTTTCTTTCTTACACTTGGTAAGGGCAAAATGGTCTGCTTGGTTTGGTTTTGATTAAGATAAGATTAGAAATCCTCTGCCCTCAGGGTTTGGAAAAACATCACATCCAGGGATAACACAAACAGCTTCACCCTCAGGCATCGGTTTAGTTCACTACCCTCTTTGTCATTAAGGACAAAAATGTCCACTTCCAAAACATTGCAGCCCTGCTCAAAACTATCAAAGACTGAATAATTATCAGGATTTTAACCCTTCAAATACCAGAATCATGTAATCAAACTGGCAATTAAAGGGTTAAAATCCACAAAATAATTGAATGTTTGGTAGTTTTGAGCAGGTCTGAAGTTGTTTTAAGAGATTTATGCAGAATAAAATAGGAAAAAAGTATTAATCTGTACCATTTTCAAAGCAGTTTTTGAGAAGTGGGCATTTTTGTCCTTAATGACTTAAGAGGGCTGTCAATTTTTTTTCACAGTGTTCTATTCATCTGTTGGAAAAAATACAATTTGCATTTGAAAATTTGTCAAGAGAGAGACTTTATTACAAACAATTATGCCCTATGCCAAAATGATGGCCAGATGAAGAGGAAATATTTGCCCAAATGGACAAAAATGTCCATAATGATGCATGAGGGTTAACTCAAACATTTGTCTCAATGTTAAGGTCCACTAACCACCACAGCTATAGCATCCTTTCTACTAAGTCTGTAACAGCAGAAGAATGTCTTGTAAACAGTTTATGTTCATATTGGCAGTGGCTATTCTAGAGTCTGCTGGGGCCCTAGGCAGTGTCTAATGCAGATGTTGAAGGATAGTTATTGTCTCTGTTTAGGACACTGTGGGCCGTGACAAAGCATTAGTATTCGATGGCTTGAGAACAGACTTTCAGAAAAGTCAAACTCCTCTGCCGAATGACCCTAATCACTCTCATGGTGCTGTCACACTTGGAGAAAACTCAGCAACTCTGACTTTACTTCCAATTTCTTCAAAAATTTGCATGTGAAGATGTGATGAGCTGATTTGAGATCCCAGCAGGAAAAGTTCAGGAAAGTGTCACCGTGAGAGATTGTGAGGGGCTGGTAATGTTTAGATCCTCCATTGATATAAAGGCAGAAATTATCACCATAGCGGACTCTACTCATTCGTCCATCACTCCTCTGTTGTTCTTTTTACATCAGGTCTTGCCTCCTTAAAACACCCCACCTTCCACTCATGTCCGACCGGGAAAGTCTCCTGCTCTGAGGTGCATGTTTGAACAACAAACTCAGGAAGATTTGAGGAGCAGTTTGCCTTGAACTTTGAAGTTTTAGGGACTTGAATGTGAACAAAGTGTCAGTGTGCACTTCTGTGCATGAAGCTCTGACTGAAGACTCTACATATTGACCCCGGTCTGTCCTTTAACACTTGTAGGACAGAGTCGTTCAGAATCAAAGCCTCTCTCACAATACTAAAAAATACATCAAAACATTTATTTATTTATTTTTAGGCTTGACAGCTGTTGTTGAAGACAAAAAATATAACTCCACGAGGATGACAAAGAAAGCTTCAACACTGCTGTTGTGTGATTGTGAAGCTCAGCAGATAACAACCTTCACACAATGACTTGACAACAAAACAGTCTGAACACTCGGGATGGTGTATTGAAAGGGGAAAGAGGATTAAGTCATTTCACATGTAGAAACACAGCAGGGAAAAATCACTTTTTTCTTTCCTATGTAAAAAATGTGTGCGGTAATTGTTTACTCACCGCTGTTGTGAGCCTCCAGCTGAGACGCAGAGTTGACGGCCACTTTGCACAGCGAGCAGTACAGGAGACGTCGAGCTTTCTCCTCCTCCGTTTCCCCGTCCATCTCGGCCTCGGGTTCGGCCTCAGGTTCCGGGTCTCCTTCTGAGGAGGAGTTAGTTGTATCCGGCCCCTCGTCCCCTCCAGCGGCTGAGGTAGTCTCTGGGGCCGACGCCGCTGGGGTGCTCAGGACTGCAGGTGATGGGGCGGCAGGTGTCGGCGTTGGCGTAGTGATGGTGGTCAATGGAGCCATGGGTGCCAGGGGGGCCAGGGAGGCCAGGGAGGCCAGCGGTGGTGCCAGTCTGAGCACAGGAGAGAGCGGGAGGGGTGTTGCTCCAGAAAGTCCATCTGTACAGAGAAATTACATGATTTGTTTGGAATTACATAAACTATGAAAAATGTTCCATTTATTCCATGTTCAACCACAGACTGTATATTAAGATGGACGGAGAAACAGCCGCCTGAGAGTGAAGCCAAAATATGTAGAGCTCCCCCTGCTGACTGGCTGCAGTATAGGTCATAAACCCCACCTCCTTCATGTTAACAAACAGGACATCAGTCAAACTATAAACTTACAATACATGTCAAATACATTTTTGTCTTGATGCAAAAAAAGAGCGAGTGCAAGATTATGATCAACAACTCTGTCGACAAATGCAGCTCCTTGCGCGTTCTCAACCAGATTAGCAGAAAAGGCGAGAGAAAGAGGTAGCGAAAACTAACCATACAGTCAGTGAACATCGTGTGCAGCCAGTTTCTCTTTGGTCCAAGGACGCGAGCAAGGATCAATTATGATGGCTAGACGACGACTCTGCGGCTCTTGGTCTGCAAAGGATTCCTGGCCTACAGTCATTAGTACCTAATAGTATGGTGGTCCAAGTGAGAATTTGTGAACCAGCGACATGGGCGGCTTTATTGATGAGCGTAAGGAGTGAAGGCAGTGCCTGTGTGGTGTGAACAAACAGGAGACCTCCTGGAGCTCAAATTGCTACAAACAAGTTAATTCTGGTTCTGACCGAAAGGTGTCAGGTCACACAGTTCATCCCAGTTTGTTGCATCAGGGGCTGCGTAGCCACAGACTGGTCAGGGTGTCCATGCTGACCCCTGCCCCAGGAGAAGACCTCTACAATGGGCATGTAAGCATCAGGACTGGAGTACAGAGCAATGGAAGAAGGTGGCCTGGAGGAACATGACAACGAGTTCAAGGTGTCGAGATGACCTCCTAAATCCACAGATCTCAATCCAATCAGGCGTCTGTGGGACAAACAAAGTTCGATCCATGGAGGCTCCTCTTCAAAACTAACAGATCTGCAGTTAACATCTTGGTGCAGCAGACCTCCAGAGGTCAAGTGGAGTCCATGTCCCGTCAGGTCAGGGCCTGACCCGACGAATCAGGAGAGGGGGGGGTCTACACACCATGATGTTATGGCTGATCAATGTATGACAACTCTACAAGAATAATCATAGCGACTGTCAGTACACGAGATTACATTAACATGTTAGAGTTCAAAAAGAAACGTCTGATATTTTTAGCACAAAGACGGCGGCCAATCAATAGATGTGACTCATAATCAAACATTTCAGTGTTTGGAATACAGAGGACTGCCTCCTCATTTCACTGAAATGAAATTTAGCTTCAGCCGCACCGCCTGATCGATGCCAATGTCTCCGAGTTCTCTGCTCTCCGGTGTCACAAAATGAAGACCAGCCAGCCAGCCAGCCAGGCGAGCAAATCAATACTGAATTATGTCATGCTATTTTTGTCAGCCATTATATACGCTTCTTATTTATCCCAGCGGAGGTGTCGGAGGTGGGTGCCGCAAAAAAAAAAAAAAAAAAAAAGAACGACTGCGAGTACAGCGTTAACGCGTTCACTTCTGCAAAAGGTTAACACATAAAAGGTCGGAGCAGCAGCAGGTATGTTTGTTTTTACCTAAGCTGAAAGAGGTGCACATAAAGGGAGCATGATTCGTCAAACCTTTCTCTGTGATCAAGCGGAGGAGTTGAAGCTCATTTTCTCTGACACTCTGCATGAATGCTTCAGCTTAAACACTTGAAATGTATGTAAATGTATTCATTTAGGGCTTCTTCTGTGTTGGTGGGCAACCAATCCATTAACCTTTTGAAATAGTTCTGAGGCACAATTTTTACTTTACTTGTTATACTCTGCTCCTACAGTTGACTGACTCCAACTATGAAATCTGTTTGCACTTTTATGAAACCTGCTGCATGCTCTGAATGCAGATCTTTAGAGTAAAACAGGAGCAGTAGTCAGATAAATGCACATGAATATGTGATATCTGCATAACAATGATGTAAAGGGGAAGCTATGAGAGGATGTTTTGTGACCAATATGTAAAAGAAATCATGACATTTATCACTGCAAATTCAATTTTTTTCAAGGTTAATGAGAGCTGCATCCAAAAAACACACCACTCTGTGATTTAGTTCAGACAAATGTGCAGACATCCAGCCTTCTTTATCTTCTAAAAGATGAATCAACAGACTCCTTCACACGGGCAGAATCCAAAGACAATACTGGAGCACACAAATCACCGCAATTTATTGAGGTGCAAAGGAGTAACATTTGGTCAAACAGGTGTGTAGGGGCTGAAGTTGACAAGATTCTTTCTACTTAATTTATCTTCTGTTTTATTCAGAGACTCCATCCATCAAAATTAAAACACATCACCCAGCTGTTCATCACTTCACCATTTAGGCTGCTCGTGTGCAACAGTTTCATGTGCCTCATAATCCCCCACTCTGAAGACATGCTTCACTGATATGACCTGATGCATCTAAAATGCACTCAAGATGGATACGAGGAGACTCCAGAGACAATAAGGAAAATCCTGAAAATACTGGAACCCCACCGAGTGCAACTGAGGCAAATACAGCATACCCAACATTTTTCTTCTATTTTCTCCATTCAGGTGGCGGCAAGCAAAGCAGAGCACACCATACATCCTTCTCTCTGAAGCCTCCTCCTGCAGGGAGATCCTTAAGGCCATATTGTGTTTTATGTTCCATCTAGAGGTCCTCCCTGGGGGTCATGAACACACCCCCACATGGGAATCATCCAGGAAGTATCCTGGTCAGATGCATCAACCGACCCCTTTCAACACCAGAGAGCAGCAGCTGTATTCAGCAGCGTCCTTTTCTCTTACAGAGCTTTTACAGTTTAAGTGCAATGCCGCATCACACAGAGGAAGGCCATTATTTCCAGTAGAGAGAGAGAGAGAGAGAGAGAGAGAGAGAGGCTGTGGTCTCTTGGGGGAGCTTTGTGAGCCATAGCAGCTTGCATTACAGCCAGACTGATAAATGTTTAGCTCGTAGATAATAAAAACCAATGTATGCCTTTCACACATCTGTGGGTGTAACAAGTGGATATGTTTTTAAAGAACATATAGAGCAGGATCATTTAACATGTTTAGTTCCAGCTCCAATGTTGACAATACTCTCAGCGTTCTCACAATTTTTTAATAATAGTAAATCTTCTTTATATTTAAGAGGCAGACTTTCTGTCGGGTTTTGGACATGGGTCCTAGAGGCTTTATTCTCGGTGACGAGTTGGTTAAAGGCAGTGTTGGTCATTTTTTAAAGCTAGCATGATTTTGAAAGTAGCATTCCCTCAGTGCACTGTCTGCACACCCACCCCCTCCCCTCTGTGCTCCCTCAAAAGCCACGCCCCTCACTAAATGCACGAGCGCCATTGGTCCAGAAGCGGATCTCAGCTCATCGCTTTGAGTGTGGGCTCGTGCACGCAAGGAGGTAGAGAACGAGCGGGGAGTCAGGGAGGCACCTGATTGGTTTATCAGATTGGTACCTTGTGGCCGACATTGGTCGAAGTTTTTACAGGCTTAAAACTGCTACAGATGACGGATGTTCTTTGTTCCTTTTTCAGAGCACATGAATTATTAATTATTAAGTGTTTCTGGAGAAAATTACCAATGCCACATCATGCACAGAAAAATTCTTACATGTGGTTCAAGCATACTGCAGGGGCTGCATGATTACATTTTTGTAAGGGACATAACTGAGCCATTTGCATCGTCCAATGCTAAAACCTAAATTGATTGATTGATTGATAAAATGTTGTCATGTAAAGCCCCCTCCTCTCTTGTGGGAGAGTTAGGACACTTCGATAGAAAACAATAGAATCAAGCTGATTTTGTCGCTGACGCTTGTTCGCGTCACACGCTCTTAGGACAGCCTGTAACAGGATTGTGGCGTTTGCAAGATGAGGAAGCTATCACTGTGAGAATTTTACTGTAAAGATTGAAAGTTGAAAGTAAAGTTTCTCTATGTTGAATTCTGTAACTCTGGCCAGCGATCCAATTGGGGCTTCAACAAATTCTCAATATGGTTGAAAAATGTGAGAGAGGACTTTGATACAGAAGGTAATCAAAGTAATCCTGACATCTTTTTTATGACATCTGTAGTCTCCAGTTATCTGTTCCTGGCTGCTCCTGAGTCCACACTGCCTCAGGCAAACTGTTTGTTCTTTCGTGTTCTGCTGAAAGGAAACTCTGAATAAATCTTTGTCCTTTCTTTGAGTCATCACCCAAAGCTCATCGCAGTAGGTAAAGGGTTAGGCCACAGATCAGTTATATCAAAAAAGTTTCTCCATAAACTCAGCTCGCTCTTCAGCTTGACAGTCCGGTACAGATTCTGAATATGTGCAGACACAGCTTAAATCCTCCTGTCCATCTCAGGCTGCATCTTAACCCCCACTGCTTGAACTTCCTCTCTCGGGGCGATGACTCACTGTTACAAAACACCAAGAAGACAACCCTTAAGACTATAAGACAGACGTTTTTTTTCATGTGCACAGAGTAAGTTGACCCTTTAAATTACAAGAGCGGGTCAAAGAAACAAGATTGAGCAGCTGTCTTTCTTTTTTTTACTCTCTAAGGGCCCGATCACACAGAGGCATGTCGCGCTAGGTGCGGCCGCCCCAAAAAATGGCCGAGTAAAAAAACAGCTGAGAGCACCTGTGGACTTGTGAAGAGGGGCAGCGTGTGCATAAGGGCGACTAAATAAAATAAGTGGGAATAAATGGATTTGAGCAAAAGTAGAGCTCTCCCCGTTGCTTTACTGCTAGTTGAAGAGGGGGGGAAAGGTAATAAAAGGCAGAGGTCAATCCTCTACTTGACTTGATTGGCTGCTTCGGACAAAAGATGTGTGACTTCACATCCTGAACTGAAAAGTTGAGGATATTTAAACTTTAATGCACACCCAAGAGACTAAAATTTGTTTTTTTCCGGTGACACTTTTCTATCGATGCGTCTCTGTGTAATCGGGCCCTGAGTGTTGCTCCAGCAGCTCTTACTTTTAGCTTCTCTGGG